GAGTATTTCAAGTACTTGTAGTTTTACCCTGAACGTCAAGGGTACGAAGATTGGATGGTGCCATTTTGGCAAAAAGCTGACATACCCGGTAATCAAAAGAAGCTGCATACTTGAATAAACATTCTATTCATGGTGAAATAACAAAGAGAACAACACAAGAATAGGCATAATGTTTTATTAAGACATTCTTCATAAGCATGTATCTTCTTCTTATTTCTGTCAATGAAGCTGAAATGTGATGAAACTTGATTAATTTCTTTTAAAAAACAAGATGGCTGCCGTGCCTGACCTCCCTACTTGTATGTGCCAAATGTATATTTGTTTTGAAGCCAAGTGCTGTTTTAATTTCAGTGTATTTCACATTGTTTTTATATTTTTAAAATACAATAAAACTTTAATAAGTTAAAAGCTTGTTGTTGAAGTCTACCTGCTTGTGGAAAACTGCCAAAAGATACCTGTAAACCCTGGTCATCAGTAAGGAGTGTCATTAGATAAAGGGACTATAGTGCATGCGTGGTGGGTAATACTGAAATACTTTTGTAGCTTCTGTGGCACAAGTGAGGGATTTTTTTTTTTTTTTTTTTTTATTTCCTCCTATCAGCATTCCTGCCTCCTAAAATCCGTAATACCTGCGAAAAAAAATTCTCTCAAGTACTTTTTTTTTTTTTACATTCCCTCCTCCATTCAGCCACTTTACCCGAAAAAATCCGTAATCCTAGCAATTAAATTGGTCTGGCCTTAAGCAATCAATTCAGCTTTTCTCATTCGAGAATATCCATGTAGACGATGTTGTTTTGCCAAAGCCTTCAACTTTCTCACAAAAACCATTGTGGTTTAATGGTATATGCAAAATCAGTCAAATCTCTAAATGGTTGTTTTTCATATATCTAAATACGTATTCTCCCCAACCTATTCCTCTCATTGATGTAATCTCTCTTCCTAGCGTAAATAATCTGCTTCCTGACCCTATCAGCACCGTGTTTCTTACATAAACAATAACGACCTTTGACCCCTATCCCACATACAGAAAATGTATAGTTAATGTTTCCGTGCCTGATGTAATAAGAGTGGATCCCACAGTAAATACCAACAGAACGTCGGTTGCATTGAATTTTTTTTCCCATGAGTGTAAATCTACACAGATTCATGGTTATACATCTATCATATCATTTGTCTAAATGCAAATCACATCTCCACTGGTGAGTCATAGCTGTCATCGCTATTTATAGATTAGCAGTCAGGGTGACATGGCTGATAAGACTTGCCCGCCCTAACTAGGTCATGGTTTATGTGTAGTTATTGTGTAGCTATCAATAGCGATGACAGATAACCCAAACATTATGAATACTATCTCGCGGGTTTTTTGTTCCTCTGACGGTGTATAAAACTGACTTATTGTTGGTTGTGGCATTGGGTCAAGTTTTTTTCCATAAACGAGGAAGTATTCGTGCATGGCAGATTCAACATCCTTAAACGTTTGAATTGAATGTCCTTGTTTACGCAGTTCTTCATTAATAAAATCTAATCTTAATATCCTAGTGACTGGGCTGCTTCGAGTTGTTCTAATGCTTTATTATGTGGTTTACGCTCCTCTTCAACTTCTTTAGCGTTTGATTCCCTCAGAGTAGAAAATAAAAAATTACTCCCAGAAAAAGCTAGAGCATTAACAATAGCCCCACCGACCGCAATTGTTGCCATGTTTATAGGAATATAAAATATTCAAATGTTTAATTACTTCATTATATCTTCCGGGATAAGCCCTTGTTTGATGAGCATATCTTTTGTTGCCATTGCTAATCCAATATCGTGAATCATCATACCGATATCATAACCATTAAAATCTAGCTTGGGTGGTGTGGCTTTAGTAATCATTTTAGCTATACGAGCATAGCCAATGGCCAAGCCGCTGACCACTGCTGAATGATACCTTACGTTTACCAACATTTTACCGTCTGTAACTGGAGTAGTCATGCTTCTTATAGCATTATATGGGGGTTAACCTCTAATTGAACTTCTTGTTGTGTAATCGGGGGTGACGTTTTCTCTTCTCCGGTCTTATAAAACAACCATACCACCGCTATAGCAACAACACCTCGTGCCCAAGTTTTAATCGGACGACTATGTTCAATATTTGAATTATGCATTATTTTCGCTTTCCTCGCCTGCCCGCCCTTCCTACCGGCTGGGATTTTTCTGGGGTTCTTCTTAGTAATTCTGACTTGTGATATTGCTGGTATTTCCTCATTCACAATCTGTTGTGCATCCTCGTTCACTTGTTGTTGTGTCTCCACAATCTGTGGTGTCACTTGAGTCTCCATTATTAGTAAGTGGGCACGTATGTTTAAAGGGGCACTGATCTAAAGCAATTTCCCGCGACTGGTTGTTGCCTTTGTTATTGTTTTTTCCCAGTGAGTACCCGGATGAAGAGCAGAAATCTAGACTAGTTCGCGACCTCTGCTGCGCCATTCGTAAGCCCATTAGTCATTTTTATGGGTAGTAATAAGGGCGTATGGTCACATTGATCAACAAAATGAAATACAGTTTTCGAGATAATAAGGAAATGTAGGTATCTTTGAGGGTAGCATCAGTAATGATGACGTAGTTTTGATATGTCACTTACTTGGTAATTTTGCGATTCTCGTTTACACTATGTTGACTTGCAACACAAAGTAAATATTTCACCTGAGCATATGCTTTTTTTATAGTGTGTATATCTTTTTACTGTCAAAATGTGTAACATTTTCAAATTTATTAAACGCCTAAATATTCAGTTATTTTACAAAGTGACTGAAAAACATTTCCATCTGTATTATTATGATAACGAATTCCAAACATTTTGATGTTTAATGTCATCACCAAGAGACTGCAAATGTTACGTTGAAAAGTACATTTCTATGTTGTTTGGCTTCTCATCCTACATAATAATCTGTTGTGATGTTTTTAGGCCCGTTGCATCGTCTTAATCAATTTTAGTCAATCTGGACAGATTTTTCAGTCAAAATGCCTGAAATATTTACACATTTTATAAACTGCCTGAGAGAATCACATTTTACAAATTGACGGTAATATATACACGCTTACAAAGGAAGACTTGTGAAAACAACGTCTATCGCGCATTGAAGAATTTCCCAAACAAGATGTAGAGGAACAAGAACGAATCGGTTCAATGCTACAGCAAATGAAGGAAAACAAAATGCAAATACCATAATTACAACCTACCAAATTTATGTGTATAAATTTTAGGCAGCTTCCTTGTTCGAGGAATGTATCCGTGAATATCCACACAAAGGAACAATATCCTACTCGTCTGCAGCTGTACAAAGAAACTTATTCGATGTCACGTGTCTCTGTAACAATCAAATATTTTAAAAGATATACATCGTTTCGGGATATTATAACCCGTGTTCGTTTCTCAACTGATCACTTAGATTGTTTCAGGTGTTTCACATAGGTGTCAAGTCTCAAGGGTCGGCTGAGAAAGCTCACGTTACAACTATTTTCATAACGCCCACGGTTCCTAAAAAATCCATTGAGTGATAGATAACAATGAGCAATCAATCAACGTATTATCAGTTAACCCTTTGAACAAAGTATGTTGTTTTTACATCGGCACTTCACGCCATGATATGAGTATTCCCTTTGTTTTAGTAAACCTAGACATGTAAACACTCATTTTTGACATATCCACTGTGCAAGATAACAGTGATTAATCAATCAACGTATTTTCTGTTAATCCTTTGATGACTAGGAACGATCCGTTGATTTACAAAAAAAGTAAATCAACTGATCATTCACCTCTTGCTGGGCTGCCACTTGCATATTACATAACACACATTTCACCTCACTTCAAACCTGTATTTAGATTGAATAATTACCCCAGACACAATAAATGCCAAATGGGAACCTTTGTCAGGTAATCTAAGTGGTGCTACCACTAATTATACCTGTAATAAATTCATTAACTGAGCATCAAGTGAATGACGACAAATACACAAGTGTAGGGTTATACCAGAAAACGTGGATGACAACAAGGGAGTAGTAATCGTATTATCGACGCAATCCGAAATCCGAAAATGCTTTCACTGCATGGATACTTTTTTTTAAACTATAACAATCAGGGGTATTTCGAAATGACAGCATCCGATGAGCTTCGCCATTCTTTTTGTCTGTTTGTTTAGGCTGAAGAAATTAATTAACATGCGCCCTTTGTCGAAATCTTTATAGATCACAGTTAACCAATCAGTGTTCAAAAATGCGTAAAACAAATATTGCCTCCAGCCTCCAAGTTTATTTAGCTGTCCTTAGCTGCCCAGTTTCTGGTCACGCTCAGCTGCGTAGCATATCATCTGGGTACTCACGGGGAAAAAAACAATAACAAAGGCAACAACCAGTCCGGAGAATTGCGTTAGATCAGTGCCCCTTTAAATTGACAATACCTAGCCGTTATTAAAGCGGTGGTCACCGGAGCTAAGAACATTCCGTTTCTATGATAAAACTCACAGCTTACTGAGCTCATAGCGTGTTCGATGAATGGGTCTTTCTCGAGAGATTCGCATAAATACGGGCGATGTTCTGCCGGGATAGGAAGAAACGTACTAGCTATGACTGTGTATAGTTGTAACAAAGCCGAACCTATTGTTTTAGTCATGGTAGCTCCCAGTCTAGACTCGTAACGCGCGTACAGTTCATGTTAAAGCGGTGGTCACCGGAGCTGAGAACATTCCGTATCTATGATAAAACTCACAGCTTACTGAGCTCATAGCGTGTTCGAAGAATGGGTCTTTCTCGAGAGATTCGCATAAATACGGGCGATGTTCTGCCGGGATAGGAAGAAACGTACTAGCTACGACTGTGTATAGTTGTAACATAGCCGAACCTATTGTTTTAGTCATGGTCTAGACTCGTAACACGCGCGGTCATGTTATCAATTTTTTCGATGGTATAATTTTCCCCAAAATATTGGGAACATTTTCCACCAGCTACCAATGCAGCGGGTCTTTCTCTATGTTTATCTAAAGATTCTATCAGCTAATCACGTAATGTTCGAGATTCCATGAGATTGCAATGCGCATGCGCAAGTCAGTGCAAACCGCGCTTTTAGCCACTGCCACTTCTCAAGCAGATCATACTTCCCCTCATCATCATGCGCCTGATGCTTCTGGGACTTTGCTTGACGAATTTCTCAAGATGAACGAACGCATGGAAAAGAGAATGTCTGATTTTGAAGGCAGAATTGACACCCTTAAACAAGATTATGCTTACGATGATGAGCAGAATTTTATTTATGAGGATGATGATGATGATTATATTCCACCAAGTCAGGCACATATTGCCAAAATCTACGAAACGGGGACTGTTGACCTAGCAACAGAACTACTTAGTGGTGAGGAAGTCGTGCACGCGCATGACGAAATCAGTGCTGATCCTTCTGGTTTAGAAGTTGTAAACCTCATCAGAGAAACTCTGCCGATAACAACGACTGATGGGGCCCCAATTGACACCAAACTGGCTGAATTGGTTCATCAGGTATTCACTACCAAGTTTGATGACGCGGTCATCGAACAGAAACTAAAAGACCTGAAAAAGCCAGCTAACTGTTTGGATTTGAACACGCCCGAAATTAACAAGCTAATATGGGATTCCCTGCAATCTGACACACGTTCGATGGACGTAAAAATGCAGCGTGTCCAGAGTGGAATGATAAAGTCGACCATAGCGGTGACAAATACACTGAACAGTTTAATTGCTCACAAGCAAGAGGTGCCAGCCACTTTGTTCAGAGATATTGTTTCTAAGTTGAGTGACTCACTTACGATGTCGGCTTATGTTAATAGAGAATTAAACCTCAGAAGGAAGGAACTGATAAAACCACAGTTGAATGATCACTATCGTGCACTGTGTACCCCAAGTGCTCCGACAAGTTCAGATTACCTATTTCGGGAGGATGTGGCCAAACACTTGAAAGACATTGCTATGTCAACTCGACTTGGTCACAAGGCTACTAGCTATGGACATGGAAGAGGCCGTGGTTGGCATAGATATCAACCCTATCCATATGGTGGTAACAGATGGGCGAGAGTCCGTGGCAGAGAAAGGTATTACCATGGTACGCCTTTTTTAGGGAACGGCAGAGGCTGCTGGAACAAGTTCTCCGAAAAAAGAGGAGGGGGGAAGTCGGCCAAGCAATAGATGGCTGTACACAGACAACAGATGATAGCCAGGTAGGTGAGTACCTTGCTATGTCTGACTGCTCAAATGTTGATTTTATGGCTGGTCGATTATCTTCATGTTTACATGAGTGGGAGAAACTAACAAAGGATCCTTTTATATTGAATGTCATAGAGGGTCTCAGAATTGACTTTATTGAAAAGCCAAAACAATTGTTTGAACCTCATCAAATTAGATTTAATCTACAAGAAAGTGCTATCATTAGTGAAGAAACTCAAATCTTACTCAAACAAAATGTTATTGAACCAGCAGAGGAGACTGCTAATCAGTTTGTTTCAAATATTTTTATTAGAAAGAAGAATAGTGGAAAATACAGACTAATATTAAATTTGAAACAGCTCAATGAATATGTTCAATATCACCACTTTAAAATGGAAAGCTTGCAGAACGTGTTGGACATGATCACTCCAAATGTCTACATGGCATCCATAGATTTGACAAATGCCTACTATTCAGTAAATGTCCATGTTGCACACAGAAAGTATCTCAGTTTTAGATGGGGAAATGGTTTTTATCAATTTACATGTATGCCAAATGGCTTAGCTTGTGCTCCCCGCGTATTCACTAAGATACTGAAACCAGTCTATTCCTATCTCAGGTGTCAAGGTAATCAGTACCTTGGATATATTGACGATTCTTTCACTCAAGCAACAGAAAAAGAAAACTGTTCAGTTTCAGTATGTGAAATGTCAAGAGCCTTCAGTTCACTTGGCTTTACAGTTAATTTTGAGAAATTTGTTTTAGAACCATCTACTAGAATAAAATTTCTTGGTTTCCACATTGACTCAGAGAAAATGACACTGGCTTTACCAGATGACAAAGCTCAGGCTATCCAAACTAAATGTAATTTAGTTTTGACTCAGCAACAATGTTCTGTAAGGACAGTGGCTCAGTTGCTAGGTCTATTTGTAAGCACATTCCACGCTGTCCTTTTTGGACCAGTGCGCTACAGACAACTAGATAGGGAAAAAACGGAGGCACTTCAAGATAATTATGGTGACTTTGATGCAATGATGGTATTATCAGAGGATGCTAAGCAGGAAATAAAATGGTGGAAGGACAATGCCATGGGTGCTGAGAAACTCATTACAACTTCCTCCGAGCCAGATATGGAAATTAGTACTGATGCTAGTCTATTAGGATGGGGGGCTTGTAATAACAAGAAGTCTGCAGGAGGGCGTTGGTCATTCCAGGAGAAGCAGCTCCATATTAATGCCTTGGAAATGAAAGCTGTCTATCTAGCCCTTCAAGCTTTCTCCCTGACTGAGTCATTTCAAGGAAAACATGTCCACATTTTATGTGATAATACTACAGCAGTGGCTTACTTAAAAGCTATGGGAGGTTCAAAATCTAAAGTTTGTAATGATCTTGCAAGGGAAATTTGGTTCTGGTGTATAGAACATAGTGTGTGGTTGACAGTGGCTCATGTGCCGGGACTGACAAATGTTGAAGCTGACAGAGCGTCAAGAAATTTTTCTGAGCGAACTGAGTGGTCTTTGGACAAAACTGTGTTTCAGAAAATCCTTGAACACTTTGGTGTGAATCCAGCCATAGATATGTTTGCTTCACGTTTAAACACGAAGCTTCCACGTTTTGTCAATTAGATGCTTTCAGTTTGTCATGGTCAAAAGAGCTAATTTATTGCTTCCCACCTTTTTGTCTCTTGTCTAAGTGCTTGCAGAAAATACAGTCAGATAAAGCAGATGCTCTCTTTATTGCTCCACTATGGTCAACCCAGTCATGGTTTTCGCAATTAATCAAAATGATTTGTTGTAGGCCTGTCAAGTTGCCCAAAGGGAAGACTGTGGTGACGTCACTGGACGGGAAGTTTCCTACTCTCCGGCAAATATGCGCAGAAAGAGGCATTTCTTCAGATGCAACCAGTGTCATCATCAGTTTGTGGCGTTCCGGCACCAGGAAGCAGTACGCTACATATATCCGGAAATGGAGACTCTTTTGTTGTGAAAGGGAAATTGATTTTACTAGACCACATCTAGGACAGGTGTTGGACTTTTTTATGTGTTTATTGAACCAAAAACTTGGTTACAGCTCTATACAGACAGCACGATGTGCGTTATCAACATTTATTGATTTGGACAATAGACCTTGTGGATCACACCCTGTAGTGTGTCGGTTTCTGAAGGGTGTTTTCGAGATGTTGCCACCAAAACCACGTTATACAGAGATGTGGAGTGTGACAGATGTTTTGCGTTTTGTTCAGAAGCTTACACCGCTGAAAGATTTATCTTTAAAGGATTTGACTATCAAGTTAGTAATGTTGCTTTCATTAGTGTCTGCCCAGAGGATCAGACCTTATACTTGTTAGATATAGACCTTATGACAAGGAGTCAGGATGATACTTTGTTTACATTTCATATTGACAAATTAGTCAAGCAGTCTAGACCAGGTAGATTACCTAAACCAGTTGAAGTCAGGGCCTATTCTCATGACGAGTCACTTTGCCTACTGAACACTTTGAAGTGTTACCTCAGCAGAACTGAGAGCATCAGAGGATCGGTTACACAACTATTTATAACTTACATTAGGCCTCACAATGCAGTGTCAAGTGACACACTGGCGAGATGGACAAAACTCGGACTTCATAAGTCTGGTGTGGACATTCAGGTATTTAAAGTTCGTGCTGCCTCCACCTCTGCAGCGAGGTGTGCATCTGTACCCATTTCAAACATTTTGGAAAAGGCTGATTGGTCATCAGAGAGAACATTTGCCACATTCTATCACAAGCCTATTGTAAGGGACAGAGGTCTGTTTGAATCAGCAGTGTTGGGCAGTGTGATTGAGTAAATATTGCTGGGTTGGAAAAGCTGGCAGGACTTGTCAGTCAATGCAATGTACTTTTAAGTCAGTGTACACAATGCTTATGTGCGACTTATGATGGTTATATTGTCAAGGGTAGCTACCTTCACTGCCATTGTATTTGAGAACAATACATTTAACAATAAAAACTCTTTTGAACATTGCCATTCTTATTTCATATTTGGAATAAAGGTTTCCACTTATGGTGTATTCCCAGCTCAAACGAGTGTATATCAGTCTTTAAAATCTCATGGAATCTCGAACATTACATGATTAGCTGATAGAATCTAAAAGTTAAATGAGACTTACCTGTAAGTTGAAGGTTGACTGTGGTTCTACATGTATCAGCTAATCTTAAGTAATGGAGGGATTACATGCCCTCCCGTGGATTCCCACCCTTTTTTCTGGGTATAAGTAATATTTCTGATACACACTCGTACTTTAAAGTCTGACTCGCGCATGCGCATTACAATCTCATCTAATCCCTCCATTACTTAAGATTAGCTGATAGAACCACAGTCAACCTTCAACTTACAGGTAAGTCTCGTTTAACTTTTAGATTTATCTGAATGTTGATCTACATGTTGATCAGGTTCTTTGAGCATTTGTTCCATAAGTTCATCGCATTCCATAATGTAATACCTAAGGAGATATTTAAGTCTAACATAATGGAATATGGTATATCCGATACAGCCTGAAATAATAAACTGTTGCGAAAGAATGAGGATTTCAAACCACATTATTACATAATATCTGCTAATGTTCAATTTATCGTATTTTTGCTATATTTTTGCTATACTTTAGCTATATTTGCTCAAATTTGCTGTAATTTTGCTTAGCAGTTGCTATTTTTGCTATATTTTTGCTATATTTGCTATATTTTTGCTCAGCAGTTGCTATAATTTTGCTTAGCAGTTGCTACAATTGCTATATTTTTGCTATTTTTGTAAAGCAATTGCATAAGCAGCTGGTTGATCGGTTTTTAATACAAGTTTACAATGCTTCGTTTCCGCTAACAGTTTTCTGACTTTATAGTCGCCCGAGCTTGGTAGAAATAACATCATTTTCGCGTAGACATTCCTCAAATGAATCTCGGACTTTGCAATGAAACAGGGCTACACATTTGGTCTGCTGTCTGAGATCTTTCAGGACAGAGTTGTATTTTTGAGTAAGTACCCAAAGGCTATGCTGAGTATGCTGACCGGAGAATGCTAAATATGAAAGCATATCTTTCATTTTGGTAAGTTCTTTACTCGCACTGCAATCGTCTATTATGAAAAGGGTTGATTCTCCTTTGTATTTTTCATGACATACTCGTAAACAGTCTTGTGAACGATTGCCCAGATCAACTCTGTGCACCCCGGGATCTTTCATTAACCAAACTCTTGACAGGAATGTTTTTTAATGTTTATAGTCGGGCACAGAATAATAATATGGGCGAAAACATTCCAATAATGACTTTGTAAAATATCTGGAATAAAAGCTGTTTTTCCACAACCTGTTGATAGCACAGTGCGGTTCTTTAGGTGAAAGATTATTAATAGATCGCTTGCACGAATCGTCCATTCTGTATGTTAAGTTGCGCATCCATAATCACATACAAATATAAGTTTAATTTACCAGCCGTTTCCTGGAGCTTCGTTATCTGCAAAGTAACAACCTCGCTAGCATTTTCTATTCTCTGCCCACTGCCGTGTAGTTGGTCATCGTCTGTGGTACGCAGGTCGAGCCATAGCGCATACTTCGTGGTAAGGAATTCAGCCATCGACACATCGAGACAGAGACAGATCTTTCAAGACCGCATTAACTTCTGGGCTTGCCTTGACTATATAGTTGATTAGGCACGCCCTCGATAGTCAATTCTATTTTTGTAATCTTGGGGTTGTAGAACTTCTCGGTATCTCTTGCAAATGCATCAGAGGGGTCCTCGAACAACATTAAAATACCCTTGAACGATCTAGCGGGAACTTTTAGATTGATATTCCATGTCGTATCTCTTTTGTTCCTGGTGATCTTTTGGTGTCGAAGCACGCGATCGTACAAAATGGCTAAACTTCCGGTATGCTGGTTACGAATTTGTCTGGCTAATTCAGGATCTGTTATCATATCATACTCCAGTGAGATATTGTCAATAGAATAGCTAGTACCATCTTCAGCGGCTTTGA